GCATGGCTACTAAAGGGGGAGAAATGGCCACTCAAAGCCGGGCAAGGCAAGCCAAAGCCAAGCGTGGCTACTAAAGGGCCAGAAATGGCCCCGCAAAGACAGACAAGGCAACCCAAAGACAAGCATGGCTACTAAGAGCCCAGAAATGGCCACCCAAGGACAGATAAGGCAACCTGTGGCCACGCACGGCTACTAAAGGGCCAGAAATGGCCACCTAAGGACAGGCAAGGCAACCTGTGGCCAAACGTGGCTACTAAAGGCCCAGGCAAGGCAACCCAAGGACAGGCAAGGCAACCCAAGCACAGGCAAGGCAAGCCAAAGCCAAGCATGGCTACTAAAGGCCCAAATATGGCCATCCAAGGACTGACAAGGCCACCTGTGGCCAAGCATGGCTACTAAAAGCCCAGAGATGGCCACTCAAGGACAGACAAGGCAACCCAAAGCCAAACATGGCTCCTAAAGGGCCAGACACGGCCACCCAAGCACAGACAAGGCAACCCGTGGCCAAGCTGTGGCCAAGCATGGCTACTAAAGGCCCAGACAAGGCAACCCAAGGCTGGGCAACCCAACCTAAGGTTGGGCAACCCAACTCAAGGTTGGACAACCAGACCAAGAATGGGCAACCAGACCAAGGTTGGACAACCCAACCCAAGGCCGGGCAACCAGACCAAGGATGGGCAACCCCAACCCAAGGCCAGGCAACCAGACCAAGGTTGGACAACCCAACTCAGGGTTGGACAACCAGACCAAGGCTGGCAAGGCTGGGCAACCAGACCAAGGGTGGGCAACCCGATCCAAGAGCAGGCAACCAGACCAAGGTTGGGCAACCCCAACCCAAGGCCGGGCAACCAGACCAAGGTTGGGCAACCCAGCCCAAGGCCGGGCAACCCCAACCTAAGGCCGGGCAACCCGCACCTTCGTTACCTTAATGAAGGTGACGAAGCCGCTGTAGAAGATGAGGAGGAGGAAGAGCACCACGAAGGTGGAGAAGGTGGTCCAGGCACTGCCGTCCTCCTCCGGCTCCAGGTCATCTCCTTCGCCCACCAAGCCGCAAGGCACCGCCCTCAGCCCGCCGCAATCCCAGGGGTCTGTGGGGCAGTGGTGGGACAGCCCTGGTGACACCGTGTCACCCGAATTA